ATKWAWTTAWWTAKRTAATAAAAATAGTTTGATAGAAWTACATTTTTATAAAAATTGGTACTTTTTTGATTTTTTCTCTGTTAGGTCATATGTAGACTGTAATTCCTAAAACATATAATGAATACTGATAATTGCTCTTTACATAGATATAGTCTGTTTCATCCATAATAATATTATCGATATCGATGTACCTGTTAAATTTATTCGTTAAATAAAAACTTTTTCGAGATAATTTTTCTCTTTTTTTAATTTTTCTTTTAAAAATTATCARCAAAATTGTATTCCAATTTATGTGGAGTGCACAGCCTCTCTAACAAACAAATTTAAATGGGTACTTAAGCACAAGTACACGGGCGCCGGTTTGCATGGCGCTTACAGTGGCGGGTTTAAGGCAGGGGCTCCCTCTTACAGGGACTAACCAATTTATTTTTCTAAGACAAGTATTATAATACACCTATCAATTATTATAATAAAATATCTTCATTGAAGAATTTAGTCTCAACACTCAACAGATAATAATATCATTGAACGATTTTTAAAAGTTAAAAAAAAAGAAACTATTGGAATTTATAATGTAGGTAATATAAATATTGTTTTTAAATAAACAGTTCATTTTTGTTGTTACTTATAATTACTTTTATAAATGGTTTCAGTCAGTGGCAGATTTGAGGGGGGAGGCGACGTGGCGATTACCCCTCCCTAGGGAATTTTTTCACTTAAATTATAGCGCCGTATGATAAAATGAACATGAAATTCATAAGTTATAGCTATAACATTAATCTTATAAATAAATGATACAAAAAAAGGTATTTTTTTTAATATGATAATGGGAAATATGTATTCAGTAATTCAGTTACGTCTTATTTGTTATTACCAATCAATTTATGATACCAATTCGACCCCTCCTCAAATGATCTTCAGATCCGCTACTGGTTTCAGTTAAAAATTGATACCAATATAACTATTTACAATATGTTGTTATTGTGATTGTGAAATAAATACGAGTACCTACATAACAAAAAAAAAGTGATTTACATATTAGTAAAAACATATTATGTTTATTAAATTTTTATATAT